GAAAGGTATTGGACAGGTGATGCAGTCAGCAGTCATTGTGTTTCAAAACAACAAACAAAAAATGGAGATAAAAAATCTTTCCCCGGCATGGGATTTAAAAGAATGATCACAAGAAGTAAAAAAGTCACAAAAACAGAACCAGTAATCCGAAACCTGAACCTATCCCTTAAAGCGAGAAAGCAAAGGAAAAAAAACAAGAAAAACGAAACCCCGAATTTAACCCCACGTACACAATTGCAGAACACATATCATTTAGAACATGGCACTCCTCCTCTTATCGGCCGAAAAGACCAACCTGGGCGCCTTCAACCTCCCAGCACTCTCCTTCCCACTAACACTCCCGCTCTCATCACCACTGACGCTGGAGGCACTGTACTCCTGCGGGGATCCCGATCCACCCCTCAAACTCTCGTTACTCTGGCGGCCAGACAGCGACGATGCAACGCTCTCGTTGTCGAACGCAAACCCCTCATTCTCAGAGACGGGTGTCATAGTGCCAGATGCAGACCTAGCAGACCTGCGCTCCAAGCTTGAGGTAACAAGCCTTGAGACGGCTCTGCGGCGCTGTCTGGTAGCGAAGTTCTTGCTTCCCTCAACGGTAGAGGTGGGCTTCGCCTTGAGCTCTTCGATGGAGGGAGGTCCACGGGGCTGGCGGATTGGGTGCGAACCGCTGGCGTGGCCTGGGGCGAAAGTTGCAGTCAGGGGGGTGGAAGGCAGCATGGAAAGCCTCGGCAAGGAGGTCTTGGGAGCTGGGTCAATCTCGAGGTTGTTGATGTTGATGCAGGTCGAGAGGGAGCTGGCCTTGCGGTGACCGCGCTTGAACCCAGCTGGGGGTGTTGTGCTAGTCGGCTGCTGCTGCAAGTTAAGCTTGGGGGGAGAACGAGAGCGTGCAGAGCGCAGAGGAAGGGTGTTGTTAACAGAAGAAGTCTGTTGTTGCTGCTGCTGCGCATACAAAGGAGGGCTTTCAGGCTGGGCAACAGGCGCTTGCTGCTGCTGTTGAACCTGCTGCTGAGCCTGCTGCTGGACCTGCTGATACTGAGCCGCATTGACCTGCTGCTGCTGTTGCTGTTGCTGTTGCTGAACATAGTACCCATACTGGGACTGCACCGCACTGTTGTTGTAAAGCGGGTAGTACCCACCACCACCAGCAACCATATTAGCGTTGTTCTGCGACATCTGCTGCTGCATGTACATGTTCATCCCACCGGGGCTAAGCGGTGGGTTGGCAAATCCAGCCTGCCCCGTCGACTGCAACTGCAACTGCTGAATCTGCTGCTGCAAGATCTGCGCCTGCCTCGCCGCCACGCTCGAGGCCGCAAAGCTCGCCAACTGCTGCTGGAGCTGTGCCTGCTGCTGGGTGAGGATGTAGTTTGTTGCCAACAGCTGCTGGTACATCTCCGCCTCGGCCTCATCCATTGTCTCCATCATCTCCCCGTTGCTGTAGCCCTGGTTAGAGGCCATCTGCTGGTACCCCGTGTTGGCCGAGCGGGGGGTGTTCTGCGGGCCCTGGTAGCGATTGACATTCTGGTTCTGGTTGTTTCCACTGTTGCGGGCAGCAGCACGGGCCGAGAAGGACCCAACCGTGCTAGCGGCTGAGCTGCTGCTGCTGGCGTACTTGCTGTTCTCAAGGCTGTTCTCGTTGACCTGCGGAGTGGGCATCGCGGCGGAGACAGGGGTCTTGGGGGCAGTACGGAGGCCGGCCAACAACGCGGATCTGGCCGTGCGGGGGGTGGTCACGGGCTGTTTCTCCACCGAGGGAGCAGAAAGGTTGTTCTGGGACACGGGCACAGAGATGTTGCGGAGGTGCGAGCCCTTGCCTCGTGAGCCGAAGGATGGCGTGTTGCCGGGGTAGTTGTTGTTGTTGTAAGTCATCTGAACGAGACCGCCTGCGTCCATGCTCATGATTCTATCGTGAGGGTGAGGAAGGTTGGTGTGGTTAGAGGACTTGAAAGTTGTGTTGTGGCGTCGTTTGATTGACGGCTAATTAGGAGGTATTGATGATGACGATGATGATATCGAGTGATGGACGTGACTATCCCGTAGCAGAAAAGTAAAAAGGGCTGATGACTGGCGATGAAGTATACAAGATGCCTTTCCCTGGTTGGTGGGTGGTATAGAGGCCGATGAGATCGATGCTTGTTGAACGAAAGCAGGCAGTAAAAAAACGACTGATTACGATGAAGGAAAGAAGTTTAGGAAGAAAAGAAGAAAAGACGAAGAGAAGAAAAAAAGTATATAAAAACTTGCTGCTGGGGGTTCGAATTCAGACGATGAGTCTCCGGATTGGAAGTCGGAAGAGGGAGGGTGGGAGGGGAGAGAGGGAGGGGAGAATGAAGTCGAAAGAGAGAAAGAGGAGGAGGAGAAGGAGGCAGGCAGAGAGGAAGTCGTCGGACGCTAGGCTGATTGGCCCCCCCTTTTGTAAGCAACGTTTTTTGCAGAAAAATCGCTTTGTGTGGCACTGGTTGGCTGGTGTGGTGTGCTAGTGTCTGATCTAGGACGGCTAGCAGACTTCAACGGCGGCAGGCGGCGGGAAGTTCTGCGCAGGGCTGAAGAATAAGGAGGCGACGACGACGACGACGATGGACGACGACGAAGACAAGTCGACTTGGAATAAAGACGAGCGGTAAAAAATAAAAATGAATATATAAAATGAAATGGTAAAAAGAACTCCTTTTCTCTTTCTCTGCAATGAGGGGTATAGGTTCGGCGCAAGTGCTCAGCACAAGGGCGGCGAGAGAGTTACAGTAATAGCGTAGTAGTAATAGTAGTAATAGTAGTAGTAGTGTTGTTGCAGTAGTAGTAGTAGTAGCAGCTCAGCAAGTAAGCAGATAGTAGTAGTAATAGGCAGTACAGTAGTAGTAGTAATAGTAATAAATAGAAATAGTTAAGAAAGAAGAGTATTATTCGTGCGTGGAAATGTCGCGTAGAAGAAGCAAGAGACCGAGCGCGAGCGGGAAGGCAGGCTGCTGCTGATGCGGGCAAGATAGTAGAGAAAAAAAAAAAAATGAGGATTTGCTAGTACTGCTGCAGCTTTTTATTTTCTTATTCCTTTTTCCAAAACCTCCTTCTTACTTCTTGCTGTCTTGCTGCGAAAGAAAGTATAGGTAGGGGTAGGGTAGGGCAGGGTAGGGGGTGGGAAGGAGAGGCCTGAGAGAGAGGGGAGAGAGAGAGGAAAAAAGAGACGGACAGACTCGCGAATTGGGGGGAGGAAGGAAAAAAAAGGGCTGCAAAAAAACGGAGACGAAAGAAAGAAGAAGAGGAAAAAGGGAGGAAGGGGGAAGGAATAAGAGGACGGGCAAAGCACCATAACCAAAAAAAGCAAAAAAGAGTCCCAGGCAGGGCGGCAAACTGGGTGGTGGGCTAACAGCAAACGAACAAACCATCACCACCAATCGACCCCCTCCCCTTCAGGGGTAAAACTACCCTACATACTCTGCCTACGAACAACCTCTCCGGTCAACGAGGGGCGCACCGTACCGCACCGCACCGCACCGCACCCATCCATCCATCTTTTTCCTGCCTTGCACTTTCTCGTTTCCCTCTTCTTGGTTACTCACGTCGCTCTCTTCCCTAGTTAGTGCCTCGGCCAGAACGTTCTCTCCCCCTCCCTGCACATCATGCCCTGCCTTTTCTTTCCTGTTGACGTTGGGCCTGGCCAGCCGCGCTTCGACATTTTTTGAAAAAGAAAAAAAACAATTATTTTAATGGAATTTATTATTATTCCCACTATTATGTACCCCATCTGCACAAAAAAGCCCATATGGGCCATCCCCCACAAGCACAAAGGAAAAGGAAATCCACCCTCTTCCGCCAGTGCTCCCAGCCCAATCCGGACCCGCCCCTCTCTCAGCTCAGCGCCTAACTATTAACTTAACCCTCCCTCTACTCCACTCCCCCATCCAACCAACCAGCCCAGCCCAGCCCAGTCAGTAAACAAAAATAAACCTCGTGTGGTAGAAAGGGTTGTTTCGCCACAGGGGGGGGGGGTTAGTGGGTCTCCCTCCCTCCTGGAAAGTGAGGTAGGGTTGCACACCACACCCATCCCCATCCATCCACTCACCCACCCTGAGACAAAGGGAAGGAACGAGAAGTCGATTGATGGGGTTCGCTTAAAGACGCCCTACATATTTTACATGTGCACCCCTCGCCCTCTGTCTCTTAAAATAGCCAGTAAACGGGGACACGGGTTTGGGATATAATCGTGGTTTTTTTTAATATTGAATTGTGGCTCTATGGTAGAAACCGTGAATTAAAGATTTGATGGCCCATGGGCCATGGCTATATTTGTGGGGGGGGGGGGGGGGGGGGGGGTGAGAGAGAGAATGGGAATGGATGATGGAATGGGGTAATCTTTCCACAGCTGGATGGAGCATGGCATGGCATGGTACAGACGAACGGAACGGTACGATACCACGGTACTTATCTCAAACATGACTCCCGCTTCGAGTAGATTCATACTTTACCTGTCTGTACCTCAAGTAGGAGTAGGTACATGTAGTTACTCTCGCCTGCGCACGCGGGGAAGACACGAGTCTACCTATAACCACAAGGCAAGTGAAGACGACGAATCGAACAGAGCATCAGCATCATCATCATCGAGTGTACGTACGTACGTATTCGCCCGGCCGTTACTCTTCTACATGCCCCCATGGGCCAGCAACAAATTAAAAGACGGGACGAAGACGATACAGATTCACATCGGGTCCGGGGCATTCTGGCTGGTCGGTCATGATCATGATACTCAATCTCCATGTAGAGTACATCCGAAAATAAAAAAGCACACACACATCCACACATCCACATCCACATCCTAGTTTCTTTTTAGTTGTTTTTTTTTATGGGCGGCCCTGTAAAAGCTTTCCCCGTTTTTTTTCCCCCCCCAACCAGCTACCTAGCCCATTACATACCATTTTTTTTTGCTTCTATGCTGTGTTCTATGCATAACTGTTCCCACCGGCGAGGATTCTATTCTACCCCACTACACACACACGCTACGATGACTACAGGCTAAGACCCTCCTCCCCATCCTCAACAGGCAATCCCAGCGCCTCTCTCAACACCCTATTCTCGACCTTCAGGGCCTCCACCACCACCTCCAACCCTTCCCCGCCCTCGTCCCGATAAGCCTCCCTCAGGAGCTTACTTATCGTTGCCAGGCGCATCTGATTATCCGTCTCCTGCTGCCGCAGCTGTGCATTCTGGGCCCGCTCCGAGTTGAGCTGGTTCGTGTATGTCTGGTGGATGTTGATTGTTGATGCGGCGTGGTCGCGCTATATTTAGGAATATCCAATTGTTAGGGACCTGTGCCTGAGGGAGAAAAAGAATTCCTAATGTAGAGAGGTAGGGAAGAGAAGAAAGGGGGGGGGGGGGGGGGGGGGGGGGGTGATTTACGGCGTAGACTCGAAGGCCTTCGAGAACCTTTTCAAGCACGCTCTCGTAGTCCTGGGCCAGCAGCGAGAGGTCCTCGTTCTCGGCGCGGAGCTCGGCGTTCTCGGTGCGGAGGGTTTGGTTGGTGGCTTCGAGATCTGCTGCTTGTGTTGTTCCTGTTTCCCACGTTTCATCGTCAATTAGCACTTCCACACCCCCAATAGGGTATTTCAGTTCAGTTGAAGCAAAGAAAGCACGAGAAGAAAAAAAGGGTCAATCAATGCAGAACAGAAAATCAAGAAAAAAAAACTAACCATTCACCACCACCCCATTGACCCCATTGACTGCTCCTCCGGCCACATTCACCAAATCCGGTCTATTCTACCTCCCCGCCCACAAACATCAGCCCTCTCTCCCCCCCCCCCCAAATACCCTCCCCCCAATGGCCCATCCCATTGCCCTCAAGGTGAGCAACCTACCCGAATCTCGTCCGCCCTCCTCACCAGCCCCTGCGTGCTCTCTCTGTTCGCGGCCAGAATCGCGCTCAGCTCCTGGACCTGCTGCCACAGGTGGTTGAGGTCCAGCTGGTGCCCCGCCTGTGTCGGGAACATGTTTACCATACCCTGTTGTTGCTGTTGTTGTTGTTGTTGTTGTTGTTGTGCCGCCTGCTGTTGCTGCTGTTGCTGTTGTTGAGCCGCGACCTGCTGCTGCTGCGCGAGGAGGAGCTGCTGCTGGTAGGAGGGCGTGTTGGAGTCGCGGCGCGCGGGGGGTGCAGGTCCGGGTTCGGAAAAGGAGGCGGGAAACATCTATCTGGAGGGGCGCGCGGTGGTTGTGGTTTGTGGTTTGTGGTGGTGGTTTGGTGCGTGGGTAGGTGGGTGGGCTAGAGCTAGGAGATCGATCTCACGTGGGCGCGTGGGTTGTGGAGGCGGGAAGGGGGGGAGGGAGGGGAGGGGAGTCGTGAGGGCCGTGCTGCTGCTGCTATCGTCGACATCGTGATCGGCAGCGGCGACGGAGGCGTTTTGACTTGTTTTTTTTCTTTTTTTTCTAAATAGCAGTAAGGCGCGCGGTGGAGATTGAATGACGAGGTGGATGTCTCTTTTTTATTGAAACGAGGTATTAGATACCTGTCTGTACTCTATGTGCTCTATGTGCTCTATCGAGCAAGCAATCACTGCTATCGATAGCTACCGGCTCCTACATGCATGTACATGGCGCTACATATGTACTATACTGGTGCCTGTGGAGAAAAGGAAACCCCTCCTCCTCCTCCTCCTCCTCCTCCTCCTCCTCCTCCTCCTCCTCCTCCTCCTCCTCCTCCTCCTCCTCCTCCTCCTTCAATCTCGATGCAATGTCCGTGCTGTAGATAGATAGATAGATAGATAGATACACCCTGCCGACCCGCACCCGCAATTACAAGTGACAGCCTGCAGAGCAATTTCGCTTGAGTTGTTTGTATCTATCTATCTAGTGAAACGTCATAACCTTCTCGCTCAACTGGCCGTGCATGCGCGCGCGCGCGCCGTATCTATGCATACCTAGGCCTAGCTAGAAGGCAATTTCGCTTGATTGATTGGCGATGAACATAGGAGGCTTCGTTATTCTGGATTGAGGATAAGACATAAGTGGGGAGTCGATCTTATAATATTGAAGTATCACTATCTACAATCTACATGTACATGTATCAATCACATGCAACGTCACAGTAGAGTAGAGCACCATATGCACACTACCTTTGGGGGGGGGGCGGATATCTAATCTGCACTCTTGATCCGCGGAGGTCAGCCTCGGCCACTGTGTCACCCGCATCACTCGCCCGCCCGCGCGCGCGAGTGCGTGAGTGCGTGCAACATCGCCGGTGTCTTGAGGGTTGCGGTTTGTGGCTTGGCGCCCACTAGTGCTGGCTGTTGCTTTCGGGCCGGGTGATATATCATGACCACCGGAGGGCATTGTTTTTGTCGAGGAAGCTCCCTTCTTACCGCCATGCATTGCCGGGCCATGGAAATAATACATGTAATTGCCATCATTGCCAGTGAAGCCCCTCACTCGGCCCCTAAACTCCAGATTGGATGATTACCTGCTATCCAATTAACTAAAAACCAACCCAGAACGAAAAGAAAGAAATGAAAAAACCCAATTAAGCCCTATCTAACCCACTTCCCTATCCTACACTTCACCACCCACCCACCAACCTACCTCCCACCCCCCACCACGTCCATAATGCCCCTCAACCTCTCCATCACCTCCCCTTCCCCCTCCTCCCCCTCCTCCCCTTCCCCCTCCTCCCCCTCCTCCCCACCCCCCTCCAGCCCCGCCCTCCCAATCGCAAACGCCAACTTCCCCGCCAACATCCTCATGCGCTCCAACTCCGCCGCCAGCGGCCCATCCCTCGTCACCAGATTCGGCTGCACGCTCTCCATCGGCGCGCGGAACGGCTCCACCAGCCCCCTCAAATGCACATAATACGCGTGCCGCTCGCGCTGCGCCTGCACGGCCGCCGCCAGCGCCGTCAGCCGCGCGTGCAGCTCCTGGTAGGCCTCGAGGTCGCCGCCGCTGTCGGACAAGGCCGGCGTGGGGTAGGTGTCGGGGAGCAGCGCGATGTTTCTGTGCGGAGGTGAGGTGAGGTTAGTGGCATACTCTAGTAGTAGAAGAAAGAAAAAGGGGGGGGGGAGGGGGACATACTCAGCCTCCCGTAGATCGACCCCCCGCCGGAGAACACCCTCTTCGGCGTCCTCGGCGCCGGCGGGCTGCGGCTGCTGGTAGAGATCCTGTACTTGCGTCGCGACGTGGGAGAGTGCTTGGGCGCTGTAGACGAGTCTGTGGTGGCGCTTCGCGACGACATTGACTATCCCGCACCACTATATCAGCACAGCGGGTGAGGAGTGGGGAGAGGGGAGAGGGGAGAGCATACACTTGTAGAGGGCCTGGGCGACGACGGCGTCGGGGAGGTCGCCGGCGGGGCTCTCGGGGAGCTGGGACTGCCAGGCGCGCGGCGGCTCGATGGGGGTGGAGAGGGTGCGCAGCTGGCTGGAGAGGAAGCCTTTTTTGAGGTCGCGGATGGAGGGGGTGGTCATTTTGGGTTGTGGGTTTGGTTTGTGTGTGGGGGACGCGTTTGGAGGTGGTCACGGGGTGGTGATGGAGGGCTGCAGTGGTTGGACTGGCTGGGCTGGCTGGCTGGGCTGGCTGTCTGGCTGGCTAGGGGAGTCTTGACATGGGAGGGATGATGATGCAAGCCAGGGTCTGCGTGTGTGCGAGGAGCTAGATCTATGTAGAGAAGGAGAAAGAAGGAAGAAAGAAGGGAAGGGGCTGCTGCTGTCAGACTGGGCGTGTTTGGAGTTGTGCACTTTTATCGGCAGCGGTGTTTGGCGTTTTGGAAAACGCAGATTTGAGACTGCCTGTATCTAGATTGCAATATTTCACTGCTTGCCTGCGTGTGAGTGAGTGAGTGTGGGCCACTGAGATGACCAATTCCTCTATCGCTATCTGCCCGGGTATTTGGGCTGGGGCCGTCGCTGGCTGGCTGGCTGGCTGGCTGGCTGGCTGCCGGTCCACGATCTTCCCCGTGCAACCCAAGCCTAGGTACCGACCATTGCCTATCACACCTCACACCTCACACCTCACCTCACACCTCACACCTCACACCTCGCACCTCGCCTCACACCTATCTTGCCCTCTCTCTCCCCCCAACCCAAACCCAGCCCCCAACGCACACCCGCCAGCCAACCAGGCACCTCAACAACAAGTCCCCCCCCGGTCCTTCTTCCTCCCCCGAGCCCTTTCCCCACACCACACATAAAGGTACCATTCAGCTTTTCTCTCGACGTGAACCTCGACACCTTACCTTCCTGACCATCCACCCGAACCCGCCCCAGATCGATCGACGTCACCAATCAACCCAGCTTCCGCCCACAACCTCCATCTCCGCCTCCAAGACAACCAGACACCACACACAAAATCACAAACTTACGATGGCGCCGCAAAAGAAGGTTCTTCTCAAGGTATGCTTTCCTCCTCCTCCTCCTCCTCATCCTCATCGCGATAGATAAGCATAGCACAGCACAGTACTAACCCCATCGCAGGTCATCATCCTCGGAGACAGCGGTGTCGGCAAGACCTCGCTCATGAACCAATATGTACGCACCCTCCACCCTCCACCCCCCCCCCCTTTTCTCTCCACACACACACAGCAAGCAGCCGCTAACCCCCGCACCAGGTCAACAAGAAGTTCAGCGCCTCCTACAAAGCCACCATCGGCGCCGACTTCCTCACCAAAGAAGTCCTCGTCGACGACCGCCTCGTCACCATGCAGGTACCACCCCCCCTCCCCCTCTTTTATATACCCGGCCACTAACCATCCACAGCTCTGGGACACAGCCGGGCAGGAGCGCTTCCAGTCGCTCGGCGTCGCCTTCTACCGCGGCGCCGACTGCTGCGTGCTCGTCTACGACGTCAACAACGCAAAGTCGTTCGACACGCTCGACTCGTGGCGCGACGAGTTCCTGATCCAGGCGAGCCCGCGCGACCCGGACTCGTTCCCCTTCGTCGTGCTCGGAAACAAGATCGATGTCGAGGAGAACAAGCGCATGATCTCGCAGAAGCGCGCAATGACATTCTGTCAGAGCAAGGGCGGCATCCCGTATTTTGAGACGTCGGCGAAGGAGGCGATTAATGTGGAGCAGGCGTTTGAAGGTGCGTTTGTGTGCTTTTTTTTTTTTTTTTTATATTTATGTTTTTTTTTTTTTTTTTTTTGCTGGCCCGGAGGGGGGGGTGGGGTGACTAGTGTGATAAGGCTGGCTGGGGGTGGCGGGTGATTTGACCCGTGCGGGAATAGGAGTGCTGACTGCAACAAACAGTAATCGCACGAAACGCCCTGCAGCAGGAAGAATCCGAGGAGTTCAGCGGCGACTTCCAGGACCCCATCAATATCCACCTCGAAAACGAGCAAGGCGGCTGTTCTTGTTAGTTTTTTTTTTCTGGTTTTCTTTAGGACACTTGTATGTGGTGGTGCAGTATCGATCGGGTTGGGCAGGCAGGCAGGCGGGCAAGGCAAGGCATATGCATGGAGTGAGTTGGCACATACGGGCCGGGCCGGCCGGCGCAAAGACAATACGGTTACGGTTGCGGGTGCTGGTGTGTGTTTAGAAGCTGCAACAAGAGCAATTGTTGTTGTGGGCTATGAACCCTTTTTTATTTTTATGTTTTTTTTACTTCACAAGGCTGTTTGAATTCGCGTCCCTTTCTTTTTTTCTTTCGTGTTTTCTTCTCTTGCTGTCTGTTACTCTGGTCCATTGTTTTTTACTGTTTTTTTGTCTTTGTCTTTTGTCATTGTCAATGAGTGCTGCAGTTGGCTGTGGTAGTTAATGTTCTTATGAAGTGAAGAGGTGGGTTGTTAGTGGCGGCAGTGGCGGCGGCGGCGGCGGCGGGGGGATGGAGGATGGAATAGAAGTGTGTGTGTGTGTTTTTAACACGAGCCCTATGTTTTAACGAGGAAGCAAAGCAGCCCATGACAATGCTCTTAATACACTACACATACAGCTGTCTGTTTTTGTCTGTTTTGTCTGTTCTGTTCTGTACTTTGCGATTTGCGCCCTTGATTGGTAGCTACATGTAGAGTAGGTACATGTAGGTAGGTAGATCTGTTGCTAGATGGAATATACGATGCATATATCACAATACAATACAGTAGAGTACAATATCACAAAAAGCCATGCCTTCCCCCAGGACTCTATAGCTATGAAACTCCCCCAGGGGCACTGTAGAAAACGAAGCATCCTTGCTCCGGTGAAACCCACGAGGTCATGTGACAACGACCCATGTCACGTGCATGGTGAGTCAAGGAAGGAGTACGTACTTCAACAGTTTGGACGGCTCAACAGATTGTGGGGTAATGTGCTTTTGGAGGACGAGTCACGGGTCTGTCCCATCGCGCATAGAAGATGGTGGAACTCGTGTGCTTGTAGAGACTGTTTGCTCTGTAGGCTGAAATCATGAGATATCACTCGATTTGTCGGCCGGCTCCCGCCCACAGGTTTTTTTTTTTTTTTTTTCTAATTCATTGATTGTCCCGCCCACAGGTTAGAGTTGGTAATATGGTGGACATGTGCAATCTATACCCCTCTCCCCAGCTCTGTGGCGAATTGCCATTGTTGTAACTAGCCCACTGTACCGCGCCGTCTGGAGGTGACCAGCTGCTCGCTTTGCGGGATCGATGTGCTATGCCTGAAGATTCGATGCCTCGAAGGATATATCAGAGGAGAACATAGCTTATCCCCAAGCATCCCTCGCGCAGTGATTTTTTCCGTTTGTCCTTCGCCAGTTCGTATTACTGTGGGGGGTTCTTTGGTCGAAAGATGGGCGCCTGTATATATATCGGCGTGCGTATATAAGCCAGCCCGAAAAAAAAGCTACTTGCGTAGAAGTCGTGTCGATCGTCCATTCTCCCATCTTTGGAGGCTAAGTAGTACCGTTAGTGTGTGGGTCCACGAGCCTACTCCAAGAAGCTCTCTAGTCCCCGTGGAGTGTCTGTCCTGTCTTTGGCATCAGCAGGCCTAGGTGCAATTATGAAGGTAGAGGAATAGGTATCTACCAGGTAACGGGGAGCAAGTTTTCTCCAACTAGAAGAATGGGTAAACTACATGTATTAGACGCTGCAGTAATTCAACACACAGGGGCGGTCCATGAGCCGGCCAGCTCAATCTATTGAGAATTGGGTTATAGGATTTTTTTGGCGCTGGTCCATACATGGTGCTATGGCTCGAGTTCATACCAGTCTCGGCGGCGTGGGGTACATATTGATCGATATCCGTGACCATGAAGAGCAATAAGAGTATGTTTAATAGCCCTCTTAAAGAAAAAACCAGCTTTCTATATTCATAAGCAAATGCTGCTTATACACAAGAAATTGAAGTTTACCTTTGTGTTGTCACGAATAATTTTCTGCTCTGTTTGAAACATGAGATATCACTCGGTCTATTTAAATAATTTTCAAACAGCCCGTGTTGAAAAAAGTAGGACGAGATAGTTGAGTGACCTGATTCTTATGTCGACAAAGGGTCTAGCTACATGTAGTTATATAGTCGCGGATCGGACAAGTGTCGACATGGCAGTGGCAGGTGTCGACATGACAGGTTTGGACAGCTCACCCCGTACGGGTTCGGCATCATTTGAAAAGCCAAATATCCAACAGCCCGAGAGCCTCGTTGCTGTTATTAACTCATCGATTGTATACAGCACGAGGGCTATGGTAATATTTGGCATATTTTACCCCTAATAGCCCGAGAACTCATCATGAAACTTGGTTGATTGATTGGTTGGGCGGTTGGTTGGTTTATCAAGTCCGAGAACTAGCTACGGCACTATGATAAGGATACAGGGTTTGGATTATTGAATTCGAAGGCCTGTTCTCAATGAGATCAACGCACCGTGCACGGGGACTTTAATACTAGGTTACGTGCATGCGGTGAGTTACAGGCCTGAATACCTGCAATAATTACCGTTAGCAAACTTATCTACTTACCCATTCCCCTACTCTTTTGAAAGTTTCCTCAACTATATGTTCTACTTAAAAATTCTTCCTGTGCCCCATACATGTTACATCCCTGGTAATGATCAATATAACTGCGTGGGACATGGCTTTATATTATGTGAATGTCACTATGTAGTGACCGCGGAGATGGCCCTAATCCTACCATTCATATATGAGTCGAGGATACCCATACAAAAATTTAAAAATGACACTATAAAGAAATAGTCTCCCCCTCATTTTCCTACGTAGCTCTATAGATAACAAGGAACAGGCTATAGGCGTATCCTTACAGACTATATATATTCAATTCACACAAGGACACATTACCAAAACTTTTGTTAGCGCTAACCTTGGTGTCTGTTTGGCTCATCCTGCTAGCGGTGTACAACTTGTCTTGGCACAGATTCTCCTATATACTACATGTAGCTAGTAGCTACATATGGTTCCCCCAGTCTTAAAGGTAACATGAGAAAAACGCCAAGTCTCGAATAACTTTTCAACTACGATTGATATTAAAAATATGGAAAGAGAAAAGCTGGATACCATGATGAAGAAGAGCTTGTCTTTCCATATTTTTAATATCAATCGTAGTTGAAAAGTTATTCGAGACTTGGCGTTTTTCTCATGTTACCTTTAAGACTGGGGCACCATACATGTATATTTGCAAGTTTCCCTCACCACATTCAAACTTCATGTGCTGCTTTTGGACTGGCCGCCAGTCGGGGCCACATCTCAGAGCAGCACCCCTCCTCTTCCAAGTCCCCTGTACTCCCAGTTCAATTTTTTTTTCCCACCGATTTCCCTGCTTCCATCTTTTTGGGACGGGGACCAGTGAAGCTACGGTTAGAGTGATTGGCGGTGGGTTAGGGTTCGTAGAATTTCTTTTTTCACACACACATGTAGATTGTCTCCTCTTCTTTGTAGGTAGATGTTGTATATAAATAATAAATATCTTAATTAATAATTAGTTTTGTTTCTTCCTTGTATGCAGAAAATGGCGGTAGTCTTTAATCTTCTGGTTCGAATTGATCATGATATTGTTTGTTTGGCTCCTTCATGTAATTAGTCGCATATTGCATACTCGGTATGTCTATATATAAAATTACATTGAGAGTATGCACATTCAGATAGTACTTTTATACTAAATCTCACATATGTTCTAGAGCTAGATAATCCGGATTGCACTGTGAAAAACATGAACTCTATGGTTTCCGTACAACAGCCATGAGCGAGAAGTGGATCATCGGCCCTTGATTTACTCGCACTACTAGGAATTCGAAAAGCTAGTGAACCCAGACAACAGCAGCCTTCCAATAGATTGATGGGCGAGCATCTAACCAATCAAGCGCAACCCAACTAAGTCATATCTATGCAATAGGAACGCCAATATATCTTTATGGCTCAATAGTACAGCAATCTATGTAATTAGTACACAATCAAGCACCAGCTGCAGCTGCATGCAGCATGCGTAGGCAATCGCAACATATGAGTGATGCCCAATGACCTGGCTACGTAGAGCAACGCTAATAAGAATAAGCTCAAGCTTAGCAGCTGGAGAATTATGTATGTTTTTCAAATATTACGCAAGGCATCACCATCTCTAGCTCTCTCTCAAAAAAAAAAAACTTCCTCGAATTTCAATATCCTTCACCAAAGCAACTTCAACAAGAGGGGGGGGGGAAAACACTCAAATCACGCTTTTTAAAATGCGCGTCTCCTTGGGTATTTTAAACTACACATTAATACCACCGATCTGGGGTATGGTAGTAAATTTTACGAAACAGGACTGGGTAAAAGCAACAAAGGTATCTTTAGTAGGAGACACGCATAGATAGGATGAGATAGCAAGCATATAAAGGCGGAACAAGGAAATAATGGATAGGCTTCGTGTGTAAGCTTTAATCCAGGGCGCTCAGAGGCAGGCGCATAGTGGTTTCGGTGGAAGGGGATGGGGTAAGAGTAACATGATGAAAAGAAGAAGAAAAACACCCGTGACTTCATGAATTAAAAGAGCAGTATGTTAAAGCAATGATATCAAGGCTCCCAGACAAAAAAAAGACAAAGGAATTAGGAAAAAAAATGAACACCCCAAGCATGACCAATAAAAGGAAAACAAAAAAGATGAGTGAAGACACCGCTGGAAAGATGCCTGCTCTCTCGCAATATAGGGGCATAAGAACCTCCTTTGTAATCATACAACCCAATTATGCACACCATTCCCCTTGCTGATGCAGATATACCAACCTTTTAAAAGAAAGGTCTGCTGGTTTTGCCTCTGCGGCGCCTTTTCGGTAACTTTTTGCTGCCGTTGATTTCTGCCGATCACGAACAAGAGGAAGTTGATACCGATTATTTGCGAGCGGGAGCTTGTGTTTTGACATTGTTGGATAGCCAACCCTTTAGAAAGATATCAATCAGCAAAGGCCCTGAGATGGGTACTGAAACAGCACTTCAGATTTTGCAGCACGGGTTAAACTCACCAATCCTTCAAACAAACCCTCGCCAGTAGTTGCGCAACTCGGGACCACATACCAAACTCTATCTTTGAGTTTGTGTAACTGGAGCTTCTCAGTAACCTCCGACGGGGGCATGCCTAAAAATATGAAACACATTAGCCGTCAACGAATTCTGAAACATGGTGTTATATCCATCCAATGAATTGAAGAATTATGGAAACGTACATCCAGGAATGTCTTGCTTATTGGCGAAGACCAATAGTAAGGACTCCTTCATTTCACGATCAGAGATGATCCTGTGGAGTTCCTGTCGAGCCTCGTCGATCCGATCACGGTCGTGGCTGTCGATAACGAAGATCAATCCTTGGGTTCCTGTAAAAAACTTTTTAGTTATAATTCCTCTGCAAATTTCCATATCAACATCTTGAGGGTTGCAAAACGATTAGATTACGCCGATGACAGAAACGCAACGAAACAGTGTTTAAAGAAACATTCGTTTGGTCATGAGGGGCTTCCATCAAGATATCATGGCGTTGTCTGGGTACTTAGCGTAACCTAGCCATTTTGCAACGCTTCTCATATTGATATAGTTAGCAGATGCATGCACGAAGTGAGCCTACCGGAGAAATAGTGACGCCAGAGAGGCCTAATCTTGTCCTGACCACCAACATCCCAAACGTTGAACTTGACGTTCTTGTATGTTACCGTTTCCACATTAAAACCGACTGTCGGAATCGTTGTAACATCTTGATCAAGCTTGAGCTTGTAGAGTATTGCTAGTAACAATGTCAGCGTGGGGTCCTCCTCCTCCTTTTGCACGTGATTTGAGGGCTTACTCGTTTTGCCAGCCGCGTCCAATCCCAACATCAGTAACCTCATCTCCTTCGTTCCGAATATTTTTCCCTAGAAGATGTCAGCATGGATTTGTAGGGTTTGTTTACACGTTCGGAATGTACCATAATCTTTGATACTTGGACTGTAGCACGACAGTTAGCTTTATGATCATCGCCATGTTGGTGCAGCTAGAACTCCGAGACTTACCTCCCATCTTGAATGTGTTTCTGCTACTTAAGCAGTGTTGAAGGGTAAGTGAGTGAGTGGTATGGAGCTTCTACTCGGTGGGTGTGGGATATGTGAGGAGTAGAGTTCGTTTCCAGTAGAGATCGAAGAGTCAAAACAAGTCTTAGGCACCGAGTTAGAAGCCTTAAGATGGGCTAGGCGTTGCTGCGACAACAGCTGTGGAACTGTTCGAGAACGGGGTTTGGTGACAGCTAACGTACACTAGGCAGATCAGGAGCGTGCTGCTGTTATGGGAGAGTGTGGTGATGCTTAGGCGGACAATTGGCTATGGCGGGCAGCGAAGTGGGGAGAGATGCGATCGATGTCTGTGGTGTTGAGGGTTGTAGAAGATTGGATGGGAGACGAGGCAAGGCTCCGGAAACGAACAAAAAGACCGGGAAAAGGAAAGGCTTCACGGATCCCCGAGAAAAGGGGGGGCCATATTAAAATTGGTTTATTTACATGATATTCGACGGACCCCAGCATCATAAGATCTACCAAACAGTACTACGTACCCAGTTACTCTGCAGAGGAAACAAATCATAACTTCACCCTTATTCTCTGTTGTTTACACAGTTGCGAATAGGGGCATCTCGTTTCCCATCGGTACCCACCGGTCGAATTCAGTGTCAATATCGCTGCAGTCCGTGATTTGTGGAATTTGAAGTCGAACCTTGGCAGTCCTTGGCACGTAATTTAACCACCGCACCAAATCGAACGACGTCGACGACATCCAGGCCGAGACTGAAAAACAACGACTAGGAGTATGAAAACCACCAGGATTTATAGAGGGGTCCGCATCGTAGGAATGTGATCGTAACTGTAAAGATCGATGTGGAGGGAGGAAATAACAAGGTGCCTAGCTTTGTTTGTGTTTCTTAAATCGGACCTGGCGTCTAGCTATATCAACTCCGGCCCATGGCAGATTGCTTTATGGGCCTCATGACTTTGATAGCTACTTTTGGAGGAGTCAATGAATATCGACGGGTTTTCTGATAATGAGGGCAAGGTTAGGCTTTCAATACCGGGGGAGTGCACATCCCAATCAAATCGCAGCCGTAGCCAAGGGGTTTAGCAACAGCATCAATAAAGTCTCAGATCTACACATATATAGTAACAAAATTAGGACTCTGCGGTTGAGTGAGTAGCCAGGCCAGAGTAAAGGACTTTTCTGTGTTCGGGACCGAAAAAATAGTAACAATGCTTCCAGTGCATCTTCGGATGTCTCTCTATTCATGCCCACCGCCTTAGCGTTTATCTATCCTTTTTCACGTCCAACGTCAAAGTGCTCACTTTAAGGAGGGCAAACGTTTCCCAACACTGGGGCAGACTTACCATATGTGTTAGCTCATATGGATTTACCGGGTAGAGAATTTTGCAAATGTCAAAAGTGTCAAAACTCTCATGAGGCTTAGAAAAGCTTTGGTATTTAGATGTTGAATTGTACCTAAAATAGAAAAATACTCACAGTAGCTCATCCTCCAGTCCGTTCGCCGCATATGTGATCCTGGTTAAAGCAATTTGGGGTGCTAAGCTACTGCCCTAGGTTTGTAGCTTAGCCAAGAACGACAGCAACACCGCTGGCCAAGACCTGCTGTTCCCGTTGCATGCATTCTTAGATAGATCCCAATTCATTAGCTCCTTGTGCGAGGAACGAACGCCCTTACTTCTTTATTCTGTCACAACTGTGAAGATTTTTCCCCAAAATTCATTCGGTGAGCCATTTCATGATGTAGAAGAAATGGAAATCGCTGATTAACTGACTAGAAGAAAGCTCAGAATCTGTTGCTGTTCGACACCCCAGCATACTATGTCAAAGGCTATCATGAAGCATCACTCGATCGACCCACCTTGTGACGACCGTTTCTTGAAGGGCGCGACAGACCCATAAGAATGAGTCCCCTTAACCAGACCTAGTGCGATCAAGTGTATAGCTTTTCGGTCGTCACTACTACCATAACTCGCCTACTACAAATACCGCTAAAACTCGAAAAATTGGCCATCCCCGGCGAGGGATTATCGCTCGAGTGATTGGTTGAATAGCATCGATCTGCATCAGAAGTTTCCCATACAAGTAATTTTGATCTCTGGAAGCTAGCCAATTTATCGAGTTATGGCGGTACTGCAAAACAACAATCGCCCCCCACCATACGCATTGAAACGATGCATATTATATTTCGACACTTTGGCTCAGAATAAGCCACAATGATGTTATCAGAGGTCTGAAAGGTACTAGGTTCAGAGAAATAACCCGCAGAGCGTTCTCATCACGAGGCTTCGATAAATACCTGCCGTATGGTTTGCATTGACCTATTAAATATCTTTTTGATACTAATTGGGCTTGATAAGTTGGCTTGAGGGCGAAATAGTCCCCAGGTTTATCCAATTAGTGGGTCCTGGGGTGGATGAGGAACGATGGATTATCTAGGCTTGCAGCTCTATATCTACAAGACTGTTCTCCGACCGCCCTCCAGTCCTGTCGCCGTAGATATTATTCATCGAAAACCAAATCCACGAGCACATATATCGGCCATCTACGAAGCTTCTCAATTATCCCATGCTGACACCCCTAATGTGAGACCGAAAGCCATAGCACAATTGGGTAAAAGATCAACAAAAACCATAAAACCCATTGGCTTTAGCTACCTCTTGGCATTTATCGAAGAGGTGTCAGCATGGTTTCGACGGTTTATGGGATAGTAATGGTCTCTAACTCTAACCGCTTCTTTGATCAAACAGGCTCTGATATTTTTCAAGTGAGTTTACAACTTATAACTCCTTATAAGGCGGATAATAAGGCACTGAAAACACTTCATCACTCCTCGTTCGGAAGTAGGAGCCATTGGTGCTGTGAATAAAAAGCATGCGCCTGGATGACTCTACAATGTACCAAGCTCTTTCTGGGTACTTTCCCGCATCCGGCCTTATTGGGCGAACTTGGTGGCGGCAGTTTTACATGTGGTTGTGCAGGTAGAATAAGTGGGTGTGTACTAAACGGTCGTTGGATCATAAATGGTCACTCGATTCGGCTCACGGAACAACGCGCGAGGCCAAAATTTACCAGGGCGTTTCGCAACAGTTTGTTGCCTGACGATCACTGTCCATCACATCGCTCAAGTCCCATGTAATTGTATTCAAATAAAAGCGTGTTATTGTAGAGTAGATATCATAAAGACAACAATACAACAAAAAATAAACCCATCAATTCATTCAACCGATTGAAAAAGAAAAGAGAAAAGCGCCATCCATCAAAATCTACAATCCAAGAGCATTCTTGGTCTTATCAACAGGTCCCTCGGTGTGGGCATCCTTCTCCCTTCTTGTCTTGTCAAAAGTACTCTGAGTGGTGCTCTTGTTACTGTCGGGGTTCAAAGCTCCAGCAACACCTAATATATAGTCATGATATCAGCAGCTATTATAGAAGATATGCGGGATAAGGAAGTGCTTACGGTCAGCAGCGTCGGTGAGGGTCTCCTTGGTTTGTTGAAAGACGGACTTGGAGTTGTCGGGGGTCTATAAGAGGACGAATGTTAAAAGAATGGCCTTTTGATACAAATTGAAGGGTTGAGTGCTGGACTTACGAGCTCCTCCTTAGCCTTGGTGGACATATCTTTGCGGCCGAAGTCAGACATTGTGGTTTATAGTTTGAGTGGTTTGGTGAGGGGAAAAGTATTTGTTGTTTGAGGAATGTGGTAGTAGTGAGGATGTTTGTATGATTGTGATGATGAGAGTATTCGTTGAAGAGGGGAATTTAGAGCTCTTTATATACACATTTTGGGGCCGGCTCTGGTACTTAGAGAGCTCTTGAGGGAACTACGAACATAGACAATGACGTCTTGCAATTGAGCTTAGATTCCGATGATGCTGCAAACAGCAAAAATGGTAATCACGATTGTAGGTATGAGACCCGCATATGTGGGTATGTGGGGTAGCTGAACAAAGGGGTGAAGTAGGTAGCACCACTGCTTCCAGGAACAACCGTGTGCATTTCCAACTTCTCCATAGGCTCAAGACTCTAGCTCTAGAGTTTAGAGTATCACAAACCAGGCAACGATGTTGATCCCTAGGATCCCTGAGATTTCCCGCAGGGTTAATCTACCATCGTGATCTCTTATTTCTGCCCTGGGCGGGTGAAGTAGGGTGGTGTAGGTAGCGCCGGTGTCTTTGAGTGGTTTATTCCCACAGTCTAGATTTTAACTATCTTGTGCAAAACTGGGCACGGGAGTTTCTAGTTGGCTAGTTTCCTTGCTGGTAGTAAATAGTAAAATAGTGTGGCAGGACGTCATTATTTTGTGTGGCGCGGGTGCACTGTGCTTTTGCCTTGGCTGTGGAGGTGTGCAAGGGTAATGCTTGGCAAATTTTATGACGTAAAGTAGGAAGATGATGTCATAGGATAAACGCGTCTCCCCAAAACGATATTCCAAGAAAGAATATTAAGGGTTTTTGCATGTGGTTATCCCTGAATAGAGTTCATGGAGATGTGGATATAAAGACTGGAGTCTGCCCCGGAATTAGAGTTTCCCTCATCATCAAATATCAACGCAAACAAACATTCAACTTAAACATCAAGCCATTAATATCGTAAACCCTTTTTAAACTCTACGACTTTTTTTTAAAAAAACAACTTCAAAATGTCTGGAGTTGATAACACTCAACCCTCAACTGTCAAGTCCTACATCGACAGCGGCGTTGCTGCTGTCCAGAACGCAGTTGGTAGTCTTACTGGTGAGTTCTATCCACATATTATATCCTCAAACATTATATCTTTATTGCATCGAAGCTTCATGTCTTCATTAAAAGTGCCATGCTAATAATGGTCCAGGAAACCCCGCCGACCAACAAGCTGCCGATAACAGGAAGGCCCACGCCGATCTTGAGCACGATGCCTCCCACGCCAGTGCCAAGGCTGGTCCATTCAACCTCTCATCCTCCGGTGCTGCCACTATCGACAACAAGAACCGTCGCGATGGAAAGGCTGATCAATTGATTGGTAGCGGAAAGGAGTTTGTCGGAAACGCTGTTGGGTCAGATAACCTGAGACGTGAAGGCCGACAGCAAAACTCCGAGGGACAAGGAAAGGAAGCCGCTGGTCAGGTTGCAGACTTCGCTTCTGGCGTTGGTTAGTATCCATTGAGTTGTTTTTTGGTTTTACTATAGTAATATATATTAATTATAATTTAGTGAACCGTGTTACTGGAACTATTGGAAGCGTTGCTTCTGGTATCGTTGGAAACAAGGAAGCTCAAAGTAAGCTACTATTCGCACTAACAATACCTTTGTTAGATTGTTACTAATGTTTTCTTAGCCGACTTCAACACCCAGCACGACAAGGGAAAGACTTCACAGCGTGGAGTCGAAGCTGATCTCCAGAAGTAAATTATCATGAGGAAACTGGTTTTCCTATGAACAAACTATAACGACTGTTTTAATGTCTCTTCTTTCTTTAAATTAGGTGTTTGGGGATTGGGGATTGGAGATACCATGCATAGTCTTATTTCTTTCTTTTCTGTACTCTATTGCACTATTGCATGATAGTTAGTTCGCAATTAAGGATTTCCCAAGAGCTCTTCTTTTTTGTTGTAATGCTTAGCAAAAATGACGTTGCCACGGCCCTTGGCAGCAGAAAAAAAAACAAAAAAGTCGAGAGGCTCAGAACGTTGCTTCCTGTTTTGGAAACTGACAGTTCCATAAATTACCCCGCCTCACGACTTCTTTCTTCCTGACCTTCACGGCGTTTTCCGTATATTGAATTTCCGATTCTTTTTTAGTTTTCTTCACGTCAAACACATCAGAATGCCTCGCGATCCTCTAATCGGTCTGGTGGGCAAGCCGTCGAGTGGCAAGTCGACAATGCTCAACTCGTTAACAGATGCGACTTCAAAAGTTGGTAAGTAGCTGCGCGCGCCAGCCTTGAGATCTCATAGCATGTAGATCTAGAACTAGACAGCTTGTTAACTATCATTTCCACTCCACATAGGGAACTTCCCGTAAGTACCACTGATATCCAGGGCCTCCTGTAATCCCATAAACTCACGAATCCCTCTAGATTCACGACAATCGATCCCCAAAGAGCAATTGGCTATCTTCAAGTCGTACGTCCACACAACAGTCCCTCCGCGCGCGAAACCCACACCTAAGCTCAAGACCCTGTCATTCATTGCCACTCCAGGACTGTGCATGTGTGCGCTTCGACAAGGCAGACGTCTGCAAGCCTAATTATGGCTCATGCCACGACGGCAAGCGCTCAGTCCCCATAGAGCTCCTCGATGTCGCGGGACTCGTCCCAGGCGCGCACGAAGGAAGAGGACTTGGGAATCGCTTCTTGGACGACTTGAGACATGCAGATGCACTGGTGCATGTGGTGGATGTAAGTGGGACTACTGACGCAGAGGGCAAGGTTACAAGGGGGTATGATCCGAGTCAGGATATTATCTGGTTAAGAGAGGAGATTGTACAATGGGTGCTGGGGAATCTCATGACGAAGTGGTGAGTAGTTCTTCATGTTATGTATCATTCACGGGCTTTCACAAGCCAATGATTTGCTTACCTGTGTTTGTGTGCTCTAGGGGTGGGATAAAACGAAGGCATATAGCTCTCAGTAAGCCTCTCCCTGTACTCATCTGTTTCTTATATCTGTAGTTCTTCCGTATCTCTTACCCCCTACTAGAAGCCAATGCTGCCGATACCCTCCAAAACCAATTCTCCGGTTACGGCTCTACCACCGCCATGGTCCAGCGTACGCTCGACCGCCTCGCCCTCAAGACACCCCTTGAGTCATGGGACAACGAAACGGTCGAGAAAGTCGTCAACGGCTTCATCGACGAGAAGTTCCCTACCGTCTGCGCACTCAACAAGATCGACCACGCCGATGCCGACAAGAACATTGCCAAGATCGCGAAGAAGCAGCCCCCGGACAGCATTGTCCTCACTAGTGCTATCTCGGAGGTGTTCCTGCGCAAGCTTGCCAAGCAGGGATATGTTAAATATACCGAGGGCAGTGAGTTTGTCGATACAAGGGAAGATCTGATAAGCGAAGGGGATCCAGAGGGTGGCGGCCTAAAGGAGATGGACGAGAAACTGAAGGCACGTATCGAAAACTTAAAGGATATGGTGCTGTATAGGTTTGGAAGTACGGGTGTGGTGCAGGTGTTGAGCAGAGCGGCAAAGTTGTTGGGTTTGGTGCCTGTGTTCCCAGTCAGGAATATGAACTCGTTCACCTCGGGGACAGGATCAAGTGGTGGTGTGTTTAGGGACTGTGTTTTGGTCAATAAGTAAGTCTATTCTCTTTATATGGAGAAAGTTGGTGAGTATTGACAGAGGTGATAGAAATACCACGGTGAGAGACGCGGCGAAGAAGATTATGGGTGATGTGCCAATTGCCTATATCGAGGGTGTTGGCGGCGTAAGAGTTGCTGAGACAGATATCGTCGAGATTGGGAAGAATGATGTAGGTGGCCATTCTACCTGTTCACTATTATAATTTTTACTGATTTTGGTTTGTGGAATAGATATTATCATTTAGGGTGGGAAGGGCTTAATTTTTCGACACACTGCAGTTGTAGTACGCGCATTATCCGGCCGAGGGAGAAGGGTAGGATATAAACGACCACAGGAACAAAAAATATCAATAAAAAATTATAAATCTGTTCGATCATCCCAAAGAAATCTGCTATATACTAGTACATGAACCCCCGCCCAACTCAGCCATATATTGTTCCATCATCTCATCATGGTCACCACTTCAAACCTCTACCATCACCCAAATATTTAGTTACCATTTTCTGCATATCGCGCGCGCGCAAAATGACCAAAGCACATGGATTAGAAATGCAATCACCAAACACAAAACTTGCAAAACTAAACACAACCACAGGTAACTACTCACTCTGCCCCCTCTCATCCTGCATCCCGATAATTGGTCCTGGTGCTTCGGGATGCTCCTTTTTGGGGTCTTTCTTCTTGTTCTGGGCCCCGCTGCTGTGGAGGCTCTCTTCGCGCTCCTTCATCCCCCGCTTGGAGGCGTCGGACTGTATGTCGAGTGTGTGCGTCTTTTCAGTTGCGTGCGGATTTTTTTTGAGGTCGTCGTAGAAGCGCTTTTGGGAGATCACGCGCAGGGGGGTGTGGAGCAGGAGGGCGCGGTGGGTTGTGCGGAGCATTTTGATAATGGCTACTACTGGGGGGTTCGTTTTTAAAAGGTTGTTTTTTGGAGGCAATTGAGTTGAATCGATATATATGTAAGTTTAGGGAGAAGTAGAGAATTAAAGGGGAATTGGGGTAAATAAGTACTCTGGACAAATAGCTGTCACTTGTCTTGCTTGATCTTATACCTTAACCTCGGAAGCATTATGGGGTTATGACGTAGGGGACGATCGAGTGATCGTGCATGACAATTGACTAGAAGGGAACTTGCTTAGTCTGAGTCTTGGCAAGGCGACTAAATCTAGCAAGATGTAACTCTATTGACGACGTCGGACGAGTGGATAATAGAGGCTTGATTGATCATGATGGACTGGAGTGGGTACCTATTCAGAGGCTCATTCGTTCTACATATATTTTGGCATGTACTCTATCAACAGTAGTTATTTTGGGGCCGAATACGGCTTAGTGATCTAATTGTACATATGTAACCGAAACCACAGTTGCTTTTCAAAACGACGGCTAAATCTCAAGCACGGCATATTGATGTAAGTAAGATATGACCTGTATCGAATTAAGGTGCTCAATGTTTAGTATGGTCTCAGAGCACTTATCAAAGCTTCCCCGCTATTTCCAGTTGCTGGAGCACAAAACACCAACCACAATCACCCCATTATGAAATCCGAATACCCCCACACCGAAGTGCCTACCAGTTTCACTTGAATTAATATTCTGCATAGGATGCGTTTCACAATAACCAACGCACATACGTCACAGAAAAGAAATTAAAGGATCCTTGTCATCATGAACCATCACTCGGTCTGGGCGCAAGCTTACTCAGGGTGCACCTCGGTGAGCGAAACTTCCAACTGACCGGACACTTCTTCGTTATCAACAAGTAGGTACCGGCAAGTTATAAATGGTAAGGCTCAATTGTAATTCAAGACTATACTAAAATTACTATTACTTCATCGCAGTGCGAGAGTGAGTACATTGTGGCGTGTGGCATCATAGACTAGATAGGTGAATGCATGCATCGACACATGATGAGAAGAGAAATGAACATATGAACAAAAGCTTCCAGAGGAAGAAAGTAATAAGAGTAGCGAAGAGAAAGTATAAGGGTAACTAAAGAAGTAAAGGAATCTCATAAGAAGGAATCAGAGGGAAGGAAAATAAAACGCTAGAAAACGTCAAGCAAAAGGATGGCACCAGACCCAATAAATCAGGACGAAAAGAAAAAAGCGCAGACCGCTCCCTAAGGAGTCTTACCCAAACAAAAACTCCTCTTTTTTAATCAATCAATAATCAATCAATCCCCCGCACCCATGCATAATCCATGACCCCTTTTTACATTAACAATCAAATCACCCCTCACATAAACGTCAACCTCGTTTTTCGTCTTTCCATCTTAGCCATGTGGTTTATTCCAAGGCTGTTGTTGCCTTTCTGCATTTGGTATGCGTGTTGTTCGCAGTAAGGTCTTCCATTAAACTCAAAGTAGTCACCGCCAAGAGAACATGCACATTCCTATTGAAAAAATTAGTCAGAAAAAATGCAGATCCCTTTAAATAGGAGTAGGGAAAACATACAGAGCAAGAGAAGCATGTGGGATGGTATCTCTCATGCCACTCAGTCTCTAAACAAGGCCCCTCAATACCTGTGTCACAGGTGGGGCAAAGTGACTGATTTCTCTGGTGGTAATGGCGCTCGCAGTACGGTAAATTGTCGTGCACATAAAATTCCGCCGATTCAAATGGCTTTCGGCAATCTTGGCAGACAAAACAAGCCTTATGGTAGCGGCCTGTAAGTCGGCCATCTGCCGAAGAAATCGACTTTCCAAAAATCTCCTCTCCACAACCCCGGCAAGGGCCCTTTGATACTGCCGGACGGCGTGATCTCTCCTGCTGCTGCTGCGGCTTGGACCGCACGTCCATAAACAATTCATCTACCGGTCGAGGCGCAGGCGGTGGAGGTGTACGGTTTCTTTGAATATTCAAAGGGCGTGTCTGCGACGGTTCCCGACTCGGCCTAGCCGGTGGCTCTTGGTAAACTCCCGGCGGAGGTGGTTGGCGCTTTAAGGGTGCAGGCTGTGGGGGAGAACCCTGACGATCACGGGACGATGCCCTAACCTTTTCGCGGGGAACTGGAAGAGATCGCTCCTCAAGTCGCTCCTCAAATCGCTCCTGCACAGGAGTAGGTGCTAGATCGTGCATTGAAATTTGCAACTCCTTCATAAGTCCATCAATATCGTTAAATCCACCACCCCCTATCCTGATGGTATTTGCAGGCGCTCTCCTTTCCTTCTCATGTCTGGGGCCACTGGATCTCAAAGCATTGTTAACATCAGGCGTTGGTGGGCTGGATGTCGCAGAAGCCGATGAGCGCTCTGAGCGATGGGAGAATATTGAAGAGGCGTTGCTGGACATTGAAGGGCTTGGGACGTTTGAAGATTCTGCTGGCGTATCAAGCTCATATGGGTTTGCTATCGAAAAATCCGAATATTCATGTGGGTTGGGTGGAGAGAGTCTCCGCGACGATGGGAGAGAGACTGCTTCATCAGTTAGAGCACTCCTGGGCACGTCTGCTCCCAGTTTGTTTGATCCTAGTGACGGCTGTCTTCGTGGACGGGACTCTCGTTTACCGGCAGGTTCATCTGGTATCTTCGGCAATGGACCAGTAGGCGGAACCTTCGATAAATTCGATGAAGAATTGTTCTTTTTGTGCCCGCCAACTGTCACAGCTGGGGATCTTGGTAATCCTATACCTGGATGGGGCGGAACCCTACCGCTGCTAGGTGTTCGCTTATGGCCCACCTCTGGGAAAGTGTTTGCGCGGGTCTCCGGCCGTAGTACCTCAACCTTGGGGTTGCTAGGGCCTGTGTCTGAGTACCTTGATGGGTTGCTAGAAGACGCATCCTGCCCATCTGAAATTTTCCCTCCCCGCTTTCCGAACCCAAGTGACGGGATTGGGATAGGTGGCGCGTTTCGTTCCTTTGGCGGTTGTCTAGATCCCGGGGATTGAGATCTCCTTGCCTTGCTGCTAGCCCTGCTTGAATGGTCAGAACCAGAGGTGGGCATTCGCCGAGGAACATCGTAATCTTGCTCCCTTCCCCTATCCCTGTCTCTTCCCTCTCGTCGAGATGCCGAATATTCACCCCTCTCAATCTGGTCCCTCCGTTTCATTCTTTCGTCCTCCATCTCAGGGTACATTGGGAACGCTTCGATGTTCGCCCTTGCAGCCTTAGAAGACCCCCTTTCTGGGAAACTTGATGCAGCGACTGGTAGAACATCATGAACCCGATCTCTACTAGTATTGCTATGGTTAACGCCAAATGGCCCTGGCGCAATGTTGTTAATCCTTGAAGATACAGTCCTGTTATTGATAGCTATCGGCGACGCTGGAACTTGACTGGGGTAAAACTCCCTGTCTGCGCTGATTCTTGGTTGTGCATGTGGGCTCATAGGCGAAATCGATGACTTGAATGGAGGAAACGGGCTATCTATGTTGTAAATTGACGACGACGCCGACGAGCCCTTCCTTGCAGTGTAAGATCGTTGAGGATTAGGTGACAGAGAGGGGCTACCGTGAATGGGTGTTCGTAAAGGCTGGCCATCTTTGGGTGTAGGCGGGGATCGTGCTGATCCAGTAGTACTGCTTGAAGGTGTAAGTGTGTCGCGTCCTTGGTAAGTTTGATCTACACTTGTTAGAACTTCTAGTTTTCTGTAAAATCTATCCCCATTTGCTGAAATCATACTTGCTGTGACAGGATCAATCTTGGGGAGACTAGCAAGCTTTTGCGCTTGCGTAATTTTCGTTGATTTTCCTTTGAATAACGGGAAAATGCTAGGTTTTGGCGATTTTGGCGCCTCTGTTGTAGACAGGCCGTTAGTTAATATACTAACTGGTTGGGTATATAATAAACAGAAGCACAATGCGAATAAAGTTATTGAGGATTGAAATATACCTTGAACTGAACCTGCACCAGCACATACATGGTCGCCTAGCTGTGTAATTTCAACGTCTGCATTACACATTGAGCACTTTATTGCTGGGAAATAGCTTTCTCGCACGGCGGTTGCCATTTTGAAAGTAATGGATCAAATAGTGAGCTATAGATGATAGTCCGCTCCTTAATAAATGTTAAGGCCACAAGACAAATAGTAACTGTTGTACGGGGCTTAATGAACCCAAAAAGACATCCAGCGTCTGCGGAATGGGCCCCTCTTAGTATAGATGGGATGTTAAGTAAGAACCTTTGATGATCAGTTAAGTATATGGATCGAAATGTGACTGCTGCAGTGTGCGGCGCAAGTTCCAATATGCAGTCGCAGTTGTAATATGTGTGCGCTGGGCTTTCTGAAGATCACCAGGAAGGAGTGACTGGCTATAGAAAGTAAGTTATGGAATCTTGATGGTTTTGCGCCAGACCGAATGTGCAGAGTAGATTTTTGGTATTGTAGAATACTGAATGTCCCCGGGACAGGGCAAAATCGCAGAACACAAGAAGAGCAAGAATGGACTAAGATCACCTAAAGGTGGGGGGAGGAGGAGTTGTATGTATATGTTTTTTGACCTTGCGCCGTAAAGGACCACCCTCCGTCACCAGCGTCCGGCCAGGGCTCGCCGTTCCCAAACTGGGATCTCGGAGGGACGTCGTTGCGCAAGGTTGCGCAACCCAAGACCAGCGAATGAGATAAATTTGGTTCTCACTCCGACTAAGGTGAAACTTCTAAATAAGGGGCCGTAACATCACCGGCGCAATGTAGACAAACCAATGTGGGGCCTAATCAATTTTGACTCTCCCTAGCCATGGATACAGCTCTTTTGGTCCACACGAAATCACAATTCAGGTGACAGTTTGGGGAGAGAAAAATTAACGGAGAGGGAATCTAACAGCGCCAGCCACACAAGTGCTGCTCCAAGGCAGTCCCATATATGTAAAGTAGAGTGCTAGTATCTACAAGGGCCCTTGGACAGCCTGAGAACGAAAGTGTATCGTAGCGACTGCTCTGCCAGGGGTTCTATCACATAGCGTTACCCTATACGTCTAGGGACCGAGATATGCAGAATTTCATTCCGGAAAAGGGCAGGTATAAGAGGGGTCGTTGTGGACGATCGATATCTGTTTGGATTTTGAAATATCATTTGCGCTACAAAGTAAACGGCGTAGCACGTTGGATACGGTATGGATCCGTCTTGTTACAACATGGACCACCGTAACATGAGAGCAGATCCTTCGTCCTATCGAACACGCGATATCAAACTGCAGGCGCGCACACGACACAGCACACTATTAACATCCCGGACAAGGCAAAGCGATGACGCTGAGAGAGTGGCCGTGTGGATCCAGTTCTGTCCTATTGTCCACCAGCGCCTACATGAATTGCCGGTCTGTCTGACTGGAGGAGGAGGTATTGAGGAGCAGCAGCGGCAGTAGTGAGGATATGAGTAGTGTGCTGTCCAGTAGTTGGAGGTACCACACGTGCCCTAGGACTTCACGGTGTAGAATTGTGGCGCTTGATGTTTAAAAAAGGCCAAGAGTGTAGTGATAGGTCGGGCTGAAGAAATATCGATAAGAGAAGAGCACGTTGTGCTTAGGTATGCCACCATGTGCGTGAGATCTCGATCAACCCCATATCAGCAACTCAGGGTTCCCATATTTTCTTCTTTCTGTTTCTTTTTTGTCGCATTTCTCGGTTAGTTCCCAGTCGGTGAAATCCGGAGAAAGAGATGAGGTCCAGATAGCGTTACCTACTAAACAACTCCGAGCTCATGTGCGTATGTAAGTGATTGGTGGACCCTGACGGTGTAACCCCAGACGCTAACCCCGATAGGCATTTGCTATAAAACTTCTGGTACCCATTCAGGAAGCTCCCAAGACACTCAACCCCATAAGAAGCATGGAAAGAATGGAAATGAGGGAGAGAGTACCTCATGCAGTGGTCGCCCCCCAATGGCATGTCATAAGTGCCTGTTCTGGCCACTTCAAAATAACACCGTTGATGGCGGTGACCAGTCAGATTGCGCGGTCAATAGCACAGCGCCGGCGAAAGCTTCATTTTAAGCTACTCTGTCCAATGATTCGCCATTTAGGCTCCCTATCGATGATCACCCTTCCTCACATCCACAACCAACATGTTGCCGTTAAGCGAACAGATTCAACAGAACCTCCTAAGACTGGATGGTTTCTTCCACACTGATTGGCTGAAGTAGTGTCTCAAACAAACTCGAATCCATAGCTACAAAAACCAGAGGCCACTTTTGCGATTCCTACTGTACTTTACGATGTGATTGAGCTGCGCCTGAGTCAAAATGGACCCCTATCAGAAGAACTGGATTATTGACATCGGACGGACCAAATTTCCGCAACACAATGGCTTCGAGCATTTCGTTTTTGATGGAAATGCCCCGTAGTCCGATGTACCGCCCGTGGTTCTTTCAGGATGGAATGATTTACAAACAGTCGAGCCTCAGATGCACGTGCCATGACAGCCTATTGTGCACTCTCGACACGGCCCGGCAACCATACTTGACTTCCCCGCCACAAACAATTTACCTATTTTGGCACTTCCAAGGTGCTGGGTTAGCCCAAACAAGGAGCCACATAGTAATTGACAGGTGCGTGTATGTACTTTATTGGTACTTTGATATTGCCGTAAATTGCACCAAACCTTGGAATATTCGAGAATTTAGGCACACCTGTTCCTTTAATTATTAGACTTTATGTCCGAATGAATTCGAGCTGAGATATCAAACCCATGTAGTATTGCACTTGGAAAATTTCATGACACCGCTGGGACTTCCTTGTCTATTGGGCTTCAACTTTCGTGATTTATTGGTGTCGAGTGACAGATTGTGATTCGGCTGACCACCTTATGGACGAAATCATCTTAGATTTGGGTCTAGGTGGGTGAACCGCATGGTTTTGACGGACGCCATTTACTTTCCCGTGATCATCTCCGCCTTATGGAGCCTTATGCAGACCTCGTAAATGTCAGTGTTTGTTGGCCGGTCTATTTGGCGAAGATCATCACTGAAATGAGGTCCTAGCTCAGGTTTAAAGGGCTAGAATCCGACTCTGAAAATGCGAGTAAATTCTTCGCGCCTAGTTCTAGAGAGGCGGCAATAATAACCGTCGCATCCCTCCTTTAATATATCCCCTACCATAAAGCTTTCACAGTCCCATGGCCAGGCCTGGCTTTGCAATTTAAACATCAGCTTACAATGCGCAGGTATTGAGCCAAACTAGAAGTGTCCGGCTTCTCATGAAAACCCACTCTTTGATTGTTTTTGTGCAAAGGGGTCTCCGCCGAACCTCAAATTTATAAAATCTCATGTCATCCATAGGTAAGCACAAACCTTTCACGAATATTAAAAGGGTGGGTGTGGTGGCAATTATCTCTCCAGAAAAGGAGTTTGTCGCGGTCGAGACTGCCAGAACTAACAATATTCTCCTATTCGAAATTCGAGAGACCAAGATTATCGATTGACAACAAGTCAACGTATGTATCAGTGTGGGGATTCATCTAGGTCGGTCAGCGGAGCTTCAAAAAACCAGAAGAGGTATTTTGCAAGTCTATCTCTTTTTTGAAAAACCTAATACTTTTCCTATGAGCTCATTGCATGTGCTGTAACTGCCGTCTCTGGTAATCTGTGTTGGTTTGACGTGTTTAGTACCTGCAGCGTTGATCTGAACTGGACAGCAACAAATCAGTCAACGTCTTTGGACGTCGTGGTTGGTGGACAACATAACAAGTCCTTATTTTACTCAGATGGAAGGTGTTCCTTTCTTCCTCACTTACGATCACGTGCCTCGACAGCCGAATCACCGACTATCACCAATGCCCCCATATTCGGAACAATGCTTTAATTTAGGCACTGCATTACGAACCACAAATCCGATAAACAACGAGTGATATCATATGACTTTCCATGGTTAAAGATGCTTTTTGAAACCTCCATTAAACAGCATAGTTAAGAAAAAAAGTCTTGCTTGGTCGTTCCCAAGGCCCTGAAGCAGTGAAGCGGTGAAGTCGGTTACCCGCATCTAGTTCACAAAATCGTTGAGGACACGTTGGTAATACATTTCAACCCTGACCCTATATGTACATACTTCAACGTCTGTTCACTGCAAGGAGATGCGCAATATATTCTACCAGCACTCTGGCGTAAGCACATGTTGGAGCATACATACATGTATGTAGACTGGATGGAGTGGTCTACTTTGAGCACCAGATTCGGCCTACAACTGCTTCTGAGCGATTATCTTACTCCATGATTGACGAGCTTTTTTGCTTCGGTGTGCCTACGCGTACGCTGGCACGGCATAGACTAAAATCGGACGATAGGGTTTCCGGCGTGATTCTATACCCTTCCCTCAATTCCCGGGGTTGGTGAATTACCGAATCAGCGAGTTGGGTTGACAGAGATTTCGGGTTCGCCCAGGAACAATTGTGCAAAAAATTTCCTAACGTGCCTGGAAAGTGAATTCGGAAGTTGCAGTAGCGTGCAGCTTCTCGAAAAGAACAGCTCAGAGCCGCCTCGGAGTCGAAACTTGCCGGATTCCACGCCCAACAGCAATGAGCATCGGAAAGGGTCTGCTTACTTGAGTTTAGCGCGCTTCAGGAACACGCCTTGTTGGGGAGTTTCCACCCCACAGCGATAGGGTCCGATTGCATGCCCGCAATATTTGCTCCCAGTATATAAAGGAACGTCAGGCACCACTTTGCTATCTCACACAAACTCAATTTCTCTTCAGCGCTTCATTCAGTCAATCAACCACTTCGTCCTTGTGAAATCTTCCCGAGCACGCCTCACTCAATTCCAATTACTCAGTAAAACTTCAACCATTTCCATCAAACTGACTTGCACTCTATTCACGAGTGTAGTCAACTAAAAGACGTCAAGACGTTCTCCACTCTCCTAAACTCGTATGTTATCCCTGAGACAGTTTGACTTCTCTCTGCCTGTATTTCTTTATCGCGTTCTCTTTGGCTACTTGTCCTCTGCATATTGGACATGTTTGCCCTTTGTGCTTTTGCTACATTGGCTTTCCTTGCAAAAACACATGGCCTCTTACCTC